ATTAGTGGACCTCATATATCCTGAACCTGACACTATTCTCCTTTGTTATATTAGTTTGTTTTTCAAATTTTTTAGGGTAGACTACTAGAAAAGCCCTGACGGGCTTGTTAGTCTTCCTTCCATATGAATTGTATCTTTATATTTTATCAAAAACTATACTGCAAGTGAACTGTTTAACAGAACTCATCTATCTGTATACATGGTCATTACTCCACTGCTGTTATTGCTTTGTTTTTAGGAGCCGACCATTTAACTTTTGAGGGGGGGGGGATTTTGAAAAAAATTTCCTGCAAGGCTATTCTGAACAAAAAAATACCTGCACTAACAAACTGAGGGAAAAAATATCTTGCCCCATTATTTGGTGAGAAAAAATGTTGCAAAACACCATGGTTGCAGGGATCGATTTGACCAGTCACAGAAGATCAGCTGGTTTGATTTTCAGGGACTAGTGTAAGGTTAATTTCTTGTTGGAAAACTCCTCAAAGTGAGCTTCAAGAAATCCAAAATTTTCTGGGGAGGCATGCCCCCAGACCCCTCTAGAGGCTCCCACCTTTGGCGGTCGACTCAGAATCCTAGGTATGGCCTGATCTGCTGCCCTATGGCACATACTTATTAGTTAACCCATTAAGCGCCAGCGATCTCCCCTTGACGTGTAAAATCGTCTGGCGTTAGAGTAAGATACTAAAGTAGGGTCATCAGGGTGCAATGCGACTCAATGGGTTAAACTATGCATACTTATGCTGCAGGTAGCTGCAGCGACACAGACTTGCCGACTGGGAACTTCTCCCGGTCCCCCGCTAAATATGTCCCTTCCAGTTACACATCCTTACAGGGCCGTAGCAACCAGGGGGGTTGCAGCCCCTTCCCCAATAATTTGCTAATAATCATTTTTTTCAAAATCATGCAGACCTTTATCATTTAATCCATGACAAACTGCAAAGAATGAAGATATTACCCATACTTTCCCGCAACTTATCCAATATATAGTTCATTAAATACACCTTCGTCCATTAGTACTACTAAATTGTAAATTTCAACATACTTAAAATGCTGGTTTCTGACCATCAGAATTCTGTCCATCAGAATTCTGTCAAATCTCCCAAAGTCCAGGAAATGGCATTTCAGAGACTTTACATTTAAAAATTTCCTTGGTCCTTCAGCCCTCACTTTCAGCCCCCCCCCCCAAAAAATTGAAAAGTGCTTCATGTGGCCCTGCCTTAAAAGACCCTGAACCAAATGTTATACCTCATAGCAATATGTATTATTAAAAGCAATTCATGAAGCTAGAAAACTCAACGTTAACTATAATTAAAGAATCCTAAATAGTATAAGCTATTGAAAAAAAATGCTGCGAAAGAGAGAGTGGCCAAAAAAAATTGTACATGATGATGGGATAGAAGAAAAAAACTTGCACATAACAATCCTAGAAAAAAAATTCCCTGCCAGCAGTAAATCACCCCCCCCCCCCCCCCAAAAGTTAATTGGTCGGCCCCTCAATTCATTTGTTTCTTAATAGTTTTGTCTTTTTGTTACTGTAAAGTAAAAGTTTGTAAGCAGTACTGTAGTGTATTTTAATGCAATTGTAATGTGTGTAGGTGTGTCAAGGCAGCAGTCAGTCTCATAAAATATGACAGTTTTTTAATTGATCTGTATTATTGAGGGGCAGAACATGTAACAATGTTACAATTTCTTGAAACCTAAAAGCCGGATTTACTCCATCAAAGCTAAAATGATCTCAGCAAGTTGCAGTATTCAAGTCAACAAACAATGTTTTATAACCAATACATTTTTCTGTGATTAGGCTGATAGATTTATCCTATCTATAAAAAGTTTATATATATATATACAATTTTATATTATGACTGAACAAAAAATTACATTTTTTAAGTGAAAAATACTATGTAAAATCGGTGTAAAATAGACTACTGTAAGTAATTATTAACTACATCAGTTAATAACAAAAAGCCCGCCAAAATCAATTAGCGCTATTTTCGCGTGACAACATTTTATATTAAAAAACAAAGTGACAACAGTGGAGTAATGGCCATGTATACAGATAGATGAGTTCTGTTAAACAGTGACAACATGAGTGGCCGTGTTGTATCAGATATACAAACTCGAGCAGAAGGCAAGAGTTTGTATATCCAATACAACACAGATGCAAATGGCTTTAAAAACCGACTCATCTTATGAGTTCATTGGCAAAGTAATTTTAAAAATAAACATTGTCTATAAAGCCGAGAAAATCAAAGTTAAAGTTTATGTAAATCAACACACTAAATGAGTGTTTGGCAACAAACTACTGGAATTTCACACAGATCCTATAATACTATAGAGACCCTTTACAATTAACTTGTTTTTACACAATGCAATATAATATGCATATATAGACATGCAACTGAAAGTAACTGTTTGCAGCATTGTTCCATCTTCACTTTATACTGTCTCTATAGCATCTAAAAAGCACAGAAATGAGATACCATTATTTTACAACTTTCAATTTCTTTCAAATTTATTAATTTTAATCTGCTTCTTTGGAATAAAACACCATTGAGGTCTTCTCAGAAGGTCTTCTCACTTTAATAAGGAACATATTACACAAGCAGGCATGGGATGGTATATATTCTCACAAGGCATTAGGAATATATTTTGCAAACATATTAATAGTCGGTTTGGATAAATCCACGCCAACATGAAAAGATACTAAATAGGTCATTTTCTAAAGCACATGTCACCGACATGTCGAGACCACATTTGGACATGGTGGATAAATTAGGAATATTTTGCAAGCATTGCATTTAAGCACCCACCATTAACATAAATAAGGTCACTACAACACAACACGCCTGCTATTTTTTCTACCATTTGTTCCTTTAACAAATCCCACAAGCGACATAATTTGTTTGCATTGATAGAAACAAGTATGAGGTGATATGAGTATATTATGATCTTGTCCATATTAAAATTCACCATTCCAAAACAATAAAGTTCATGACCAATTTCCTCATTTCTCATGTGTTAACTTATGGTATAATTCACCGATCTCAGAAATTCCCAGAAAATCCCATTATCAGAAATTCCCATTTGAAAGGTGTTGTCACGACTGTATTCATGATTCATCTCAGTCGCACTCAGAAACGTCATCAAAAATATAGACACGTTTCTTTACGATTGAGTTCATTTGAATGTAAAAGAGGTCCCCAACATTCTTGAACATGTGCTTTTGCTTAAAATATCATATTTGACATGATTTGTTCCTCTATTGCAAGATAACAGAACAAAACAGTTGAAAATACTGTATTAATCACAATAGCTCACTCCTCAAGGTGGTCACAGTAAGATGGCGGCCGCGCGCGACTTCCGGCTTCAATTTCTCTATCTATAGTTGCGCTCTCCATGTATTAATAATACAGCTCAGTGATGCATATCCTCAATCAGACAGTTCATTGCTTTCAGGGAAAATATTTTCAGAATAAAGCAAGATATAAAAAATCTGTAACAAGCTTTTAGAGATATATATTTATTGAATTTTAAACATTCCTTCAATTAAGACAATAAGAATTTTTGTTCCCATCACCCTTTTAACTTAATGGTAACAGACAGTATGTTATCACTACTGTACCATTGCAGTAAAAGCTAATAACCTAACAATACCCTCCAATTTTCGTATATACTGTATTATACTTAATTCAGTGATAATTGGTACATTAGTGCATGGTTTAACGACAGGTTTACTACAATTTTTGTAGATTGAACTGTTGGACATCCAACAAAGTGCAGCATCTTCTTTATTGAAGATCAAAGAACAGAACAAAATACCACAAGTACGTAAGCAAGTTTTATAACTGAAACTCGTATTTGTTGCTGGAGTAAAGCTTGTAATGTACATACAGTACCATGGATATAAAATAGACTGATACTATCAGTAGTTTACCGTAACCATTAATAGGAAACTTAACGTTCAATCACAGCATAGGGAATGAACAGTAGGTTCACTGAGCAGTGCAATGTGGCCCTCAAAGTGTATGCAGTTTATTGGCTGTGACCAGCCAGTTCTGCATTCTCATTGACCAGAAAATGAAATTGACTGGCTGCCATAATGGTAATGAGATGCGTAATGTGACATGCGTGAAGAAACAGACTTGAAAGGTTCCGACTTAAGTGGACCTACTGTTCATTCCCTATACTATGGTTCAATAGTGTAAAATTAATATAGAAAGAAGCCCTTCTTTTGCTTAAAAGAAAATGTGTTTTTGTATGTATGGAAGATACAGTAGTCTCTTTCTTTGGAATTAGTCATGTTAGAGGAACAAGTGTGATTTTCCCACAGGAAGCATATTCCCAATGGGCCATTTGAGGGATAAATCCTTTCCAATGTACAAAATTAGTTGAAAGCATCTGTATTTTCTCCATATAGTCTGCAATGAATGATATCAAGGAAAGTACTACCCGCTTGGTAGGCCAGGTTTTGACTTACTTAAAGCAACAAGTTATTGCTACTCTTGAGCCTTGTGAAAGGAACATCAAGCTGAACTTCTTCAAGCACTGGATAATATTCCGGACCTTGGCACTATGTGCAGCGTATGTAAAGAAGAATTTTAATTATGCGGCTCACAAAAAAATCTGCCTTGGCATAGGTATGTAAGGAAAAAGAAAGGTGCCAAATGAGTGATCAGTGAGCAAGATGAAAGTTTCATATATATATATACCCATTTTGGAAAGTTTGCAGCAATTGTTGGGGAATAAAAAGATAGCTTCTAGGCCTTTCCCGATTGCGCTGGTAAAATCCTAAAAAAGTGCTGGCAAAAATGACTAAAAAGTGCTCAAAAAGTGCTCAAAATCTCAAAATAGTGCTCAAAAAGTGCTAAAATTGTGAACAGTTACCTCTAAGATTTTCGTAAATTTTTTAAAATCAGCATTTTTTAAAATCTGTTTCCACGTCCTCCATATATGGAACAAACTTCCGTATATGGAGTTGTTTACGACAAAAAAAAGAGAACAAAAAGTCAAGTTTGAGCAAATAGATTATACAATCTACAAGGCAAGTACAAACACTGTTGCGTTCACGACAACAGAAGAAAGAATGCCATTATGGATCGAAGCTCTGAGAACACGATACCAAGATGGCCTCTATGTCAACACATATCACTGTGCGCTGGGAAGAAAATGAAAACAAGGATGACTCAACGAAATGCGACAAGGTAACCATCCATCTATCTTCCTCCAAAAACTCGATTAATCAGAATCTCATCACCATCACAGCACTGATAAATAATGGCAGAATTCAAGTACAAGGAAGGTCCTACAAAGAATGGGGGCAACAAAGAATTTTGCGACTCCTGGCAATTATTAATTCTAGTCCTGCCAAAACCAATCCAACCAAAGATCTAGAAACTTTCGTTGAACTAATAACAATTAATCAAAAACCGAGCACTATGGAAAAAGATGACCATGCCATCGACAATATATCAGAACCAGACAATACTAACTCTATAAATGATGAACCAATGTTTTCCAGCATGAAAAGCAGCCTAGTCTCACTTGAAGCTGACTTTGTTCTTTTTAAGCAAACGACCCAAATAAGCATCAATGACCTCACAGTTCAGCTCGACAATAAAGACGGTGAAATCAATAATCTAAAAACTGAAATAACATTACTCAAGACAACTAACCTAAGCCAACAACAGTCAATATGTGACCTGAATTTAAAACAATCACAAATTGAAGATGAACTTAAAAAATTAAAAAACAAACACGAATCCTTAGAGAAAAAGAATACTGATCTATTACTAAAATTACAAACACTAAATAAGGAAAATATTCAGACAAACGAAGAAACGACCAGCCAAATTCAACCAAACATAGCAGTGCCCATTTCAAACAGTTTTGGTACCTTAGAAGACAACCTGAATCAACCTGATGAGGATGAAATACAAAGAGATGAAATGTCGACATCACAGAACACCCTCTTAGACCACTCCGAAGACCAACCACCTCAACCCAATAAAGTAAACAATGGAGAAACAATTATCTTGTGTGACAGCAATGGTCGTCACATAAACCCCAACCTGTTATGCCCTGGTTCAAGGACTTCCTACATCCGATGTCCAACCCTGAATGATGCTAGTAAGACCATAGAACAAACCACATTCACGAACCCTAAAACATTCCTTCTTCACTATGGAACCAATGACCTGGAGTCTAACCAATCAGATGAAGAAATCATAGGACGTCTCAAATCCACGGTAACAACCATATCCAGTAAACACCCTGAAAGTAAAGTGATTCTCTCAACACTATTACCCAGAAAAGACAACCTGAACGAAAGGACCAAAAACATTAACCACAGTCTAGAAGAAACATTCTCGGCTTCCAAAATCTATGTTGTCAAACATGACAACATCAAAATAGAAGACCGGCATGACAAAAAATATCTGAACACGATTGGCATCAAACGTGTTTCGCCTTAAACCTTAAAAGAGCATACTTTGGTCATTCTCCCCCAAATACCGACAAAACAAGAAAATCCCACAATCACCCAACAAAACCCAGATGGCAATTAGTGCTGTGCGCCGGAGTTGCCGGAGCCAGAGTTCTGCCGGAGCTCCGGCGGTTTTTCCAATGCTGGAGCCGGAGCAGAATTTTGTATGCCGGAGCCGGAGTTACGTTTTCCCAGCTCCGGCAAAATGACAAGAAAACAATAAGAAATGAGACAAATGTCAAACGATTGTTAGTTACTGCAAACTGCCAATTGCTGTTAATGTCTTAATGAATTCATGCCCCAGCCCACAGGAACAGCGTCGAAAAGCTGTAATACGATTGCAACTTACAAACGTCATGCTTTCATGAAGCCATCTGACTTAGCGCTACATACTGTAATCTGTATATTCATGCCTTGTAGATAACGAAAAAGTACAAAACAAATAAATATCAACCTTTTGAAAATGACAGAGTACTTTGTTTGCGTGCGAACAATTGCGCTGTGGAGTCTGAGAGTGTTAGCGTCATGCCTCGCGTCATGCCTCGTGTCAAAGATTTTTCGAGGCTGGTTTCCATATAGATATTTTCTGCGTGGTTAAGTGTTTTCACTGTTTTGCTTCCCGAGTTATGTTATCTGATAATTAGGAAGCGTGAAAAGGGTTATTCGTAATAATATTAATAAATGTTCTCTGATCGTAAAACATTTATTTAATATTTTATGATGTAGCCGGAGTTCAGAGCTGTAATTCGGCCGGACCCGGAGATGAAAAACCGGAGTTTGCACAGCACTAATGGCAATCCAACCAAATAATCAACCAACAAACCAATACGACACTTCCACCTTTCCACCAGAACTACACCACAAACCATCAACATCCACATGAGCTCCACACAATAAACAACCCCTATACTCCCTTCTTCTACAACCGCATGCCCTTCAACCAACACCCACCACACAAAAGCACCAGCCAAACTGCAGGAAACAGAATGACGAAAATCAAGGACTTTACTGATAATATTATGAAAACAGACTTCATGTTCTTAAGGTGGCTCCCTACAGTTCTCTAAAATTCTAGGTATTTTGAGTATCGTTCGCTTTGAACCGAATTTATATTAGATACACTTAAGACAAGGCAATATGATCATTTCCAGGAAAGTTCAGAAGCTGTGTGCTGTCCATTT